TGTTGCCGCCGAAAATGGAAACACGATTCCCGACATTGTTTCGTTTTATTGCTAAAACTAGGTGATTACAAAAACATTTGTCGGCAACACGTGTTGACAAATGTTGAAAAAAGTTTTCAGAGGTGGAGACGCGCCATTATGTGTAAAAATCATAGTTAATAGGTAATAACCAATGTTCACTCACGATTAATAGATCTATATTAACTTTAATTAATAATAAGTTTAAGTCGTTAATTTTGTTAGAAAGACATTGAATGTTCTGATACATTATTTTGTAGTATTTAGGGGCGAAAGGAAGACTTCTCTGGGTCAGTTTTATTTTCTTCACACGCTTTATTTGTTCAACATATTCGGAACTATGGCGTGTATCAGGCTTTAAGCTTTTCCTTTTTTGTTTTTTGGGTTTACTTAAAGGTGTTGAGTTATATGAATTATTAGCTGTTTTTCTCAACTATACGTCATCGAGACTAACAGTTTTGTAAAGTTTTATAACTTTTTTCTTGTTCTAAAAATGTTTTGTTAAGTTTGCTAATCGTTTTGTTTAAATTCTCCACCACTTTGTTTGCTATGATTCGTTCTGTTCGTAGTCTTAAAACTTCTTCTTTTAACTCCTGTATAATCAAGCAGTCTCCTTAGTCGTCTTCTGGTAGACTGTTGGTTTCTCTTTATGTAAATTTATTGAACGTGAGTGTGTATTAGTAGACATAAATGAAAAAACGAAAGGTGACAAATCTGCGTACTCATCATCCACGTCTAGTGCATCGAAAGAGTTAGAAATATACCTACAAGTATATTTATATTTAGTTGATTTAATTTCGGCAGTTTTTGGTATTTACAAAAATCGCATAGGCATTTTTTGCGACATGTAGTAAGAAGAAAAATGTTTCTCCTATACTTGTGCAGTCTAAGTGAAAGAGTTTTTACAGTTGGGACATTCAATAAAGTCTCTTTTTGTTATTTCTTACCTGCATTTAAAACAATTTTTCGACATTTTGTAGTCTTTTCTTTCTTTTGTAAAACCAATTAAAATAATTTTTATTTTTTAGTTATCACCATCTATTGTGTTGTACCTGCACTATTATTATACTTGTCCAACAAAGGCATGATTATTATCTTGTCATCACCGATGGTCAATCAACTGTTGAATTTGTTTTAGTCCACTACTTTCCCGGTAGATGGCGGTTTACAACGCCATCTCATTCACTTTAAAGAGATAAAATCAGCTGACTTGTGTTTACAAAAACTTAAACAGCAAACGTTCACCAGTTGCGTAAAAATAGTAAATTCAAGCTTTTACGGGTTAATTTTTCACTTACGACATGAGTTGTAGAATACTAGGTTAAGGACACTTAAGTATTAATTCACTCGCACTTGAACACTTCGTACTTTTATTACGGTGTTATTTGTCTTATAAATACCGATTGATTTTACACAATATACACTGGTTTTTACTGAGATACCATTCCGCTCTATGGTATCTAATTTTATATGGAACGCACTGATTTACTGTATTTAGATCACTATTTGATAATTTTAATAAATTTATAACGGAACCCGGTGTTAGCCGTGACAACTAGCGTCTTTTTTTTCTTAATCAATACTTAACTTCAGTGGAGAAACAACTAGGGCTCGCGTCCCAGTATAATCTTATGGCTGTACAGCGGCATAGTTTGGTGTAATACGGCCAACTAAAAGACGACTGCGGACAGGCTTAATAGTATAACAAAGGACTGCCTGTTTAATGGCAACCGCAGCGATGCGATCATCGCCTTGAACGGCTCTTAATGCACTTTTATGCCTAACGCCAACTTGATCTTTATTTAGACAAGGAGACGAGAGCTAGTTTGTATAGGATTACCGCCCTGGGCGGTCTGAACTCGTTTTCTTACAGATTGAGATCCCTGCTCGACTCTATGAAGGAAACACCGATTTAAGACATCATCTCAGATATCATGCGTCCACTTTACACTTTTAATAAAAAGTACATATTAAGTTCTAGTAGAACCACCCTCTAGAGAAGACTGGCGCAATAAACAGGTTATCTGTAAGGTTGATAGCCTTATATGGTACAGCGATAGGTAAAATATGGACATCAACGTAGGCTTTGGAATTTATGGAGAACGCCACAAATTCAAGTTGTTAAATTAATTTGGGGAAATTCACCTCTATTTTCCAGGCAGAAATTTTCGCCATACTTCGGTATGCGAAAATCAACCTGCAAAAACACTACGTCAACCATATTATCTATATAACCTCTGATAGTCAAGCAGCACTGGTAGCGCTGAGATCAAACTGAGTGAATTGAAAAAGTGAAGACTGCATCAACCGTCTAAACGCCCTGGGATGTAACAACAGGGTAGTTTTGAGGTGGGTTCCAGGTCATGCGGGTATTGTTGGCAATGAACTTGCCGACAAGCTTGCACGGGAGAGCTCAAAGAGCACACAAAATACACAATTTGGACCCGAGATATTTCGTAGAATCTCTACAAGCCTAGCCTGATTGATCCTTGAAACTCTTTGCCACAATAAATCACTTAAGATCTGGTCTGATAATGAAAAAAAAACCCGCCCGCCAAATGTGGCAACTATGGCAAATAGCGGTAATAGTTGCCATTTGGGACAATCTACGGGGGAGTCCTATGCTCAGCAATGGACATTTATTATGCTGTTATGATTGAATGGAAAAAATGTCTAATAATTTGGTTACCAGACAAATGCCTGGCTAAAGTAAATATTTTGTTACCGGTAGTTGCTAAGATTGTTTATCGTAAATTATCGAAGCAAAAAGATAAATATTAACTCTTTGACCACATGGAAAATACTCAGTTATTCACCTAATTTAGGATGACCATACATTGTAACATATCGTGGTGTGTAATTGTTCAAACCTCAAGTGCAGTGCGCAGGGGTTGCTGTAGCCCGGAGCTGCAATAATAAGTACCGCTTCACCCCCTCCCCCATTTTCACAAGTATTCTAAAAATATGTAACCAAAGCTCATCTCCCCTCTCCCCGCTAAAATAAGATATAACGACGTGAATATTTGAGAAAATTGAGTTACATACATTCAAAAAATATACCTTTTGATCTGAATGTAGATTAGCGTTTGGCTGCAGCGTTGTGAACCTGCGGGTTCACATCCCACAGGAAATAAGTATTTCTATAACAATTGGTATCTAAATTTTACGGCTCTGGATGTTCATCCATGTACAATTTATTTATATAAAACTCCTCCGTATTCCAAAGAAAATCCTAGAGTTTTTTATCTGGCCCTAGTCTTCATTTTGGTATATTAAGCTTTCACGTTTTTTTTATAGGATAAGGGTGAGAAACGAGCACACAGTCCACCTGAGGGTAAGTGGTTGCTGTGGCCCATAGACATCTGCATCTATCCTCGATTACGAATCAACATGCAGATGCGTTGTCACCCGTGAGGACTAAGATGGAATGCCTCGTTTCCAGTAAAAGGGTCTCCCGTTCTCTACACTCATCATATAAAACACAGCAGTGTCAAGCTGCCATTTTACGCTGGTATTCTGTGAGAGCGTGGTCCTTCCCCGGTCGAGCCGACCCATTCGTGCTACAACTATACTAGTAATATAGCTGCACCATGGCTCTACTATGTAAAGACAAATGTATCCAAATCTAGTGGTGACGTGAGGATGGCGTTAGATTATCACTATTCATTCTCATTTTGAATCGTAATAATCGATTACGAAAAATGTCACAATGAATTTTCGGTATCTGATGGCGGTGAAATAACGATCTCTCAAAAAAATTTATCATAATGGTACTCAGAGTAATTACTGGCAATGTATGTAATTACTTGTATGTATGTATATATAAAGTAATGGTGACAAACAGCAACGTCGAGACATGCAAGACAATCTGTGAGTTTTTTTTTTTTAATAAAGGTGACAAACGATCATACTTTTACATAATTATATACATAGACATCTACAGGATTCTCGACTAAGAATCAACACGTAGATGCGTTGTCACCCCTGAGGACTATACCTCGTTTCCCGTAAAAAAGGTCAACGATTCTCTACATACGAAACACAACAGCATTTAGCTGCCATCTTACGCTGGTATTCTCCTTACCCGGGCCATCATCGTGCTATAACCATAACATAGCTATAGGGTGGCTCTACCACAAAAGTGTACCATCAAAGTAAAAGATTTAAAAAAAGTCCGAAATAGTGACTTGGAAGAGGTTCATGTTCAAGAGTGAACTTTGTTCCAGGCGTAAGTTCAGAATTATTATTTCACCATCTAATAAAACCAAAAACCAACTAATGAATACAATATCCTCGCCTTGTGCTTAGTCGAGTTTTGCAACAGTCAACAGCCCAATGATATATTATTTTAAGCTTATCTCACATTGAAATTTTGTCCTTATACGTAAATTTATTTGCTTTTCATGCTTTAATTGACGTTTCTGGATACTATTTAATAAATTTCTCGCTGACATTATTGCATTACCTTAATAGTCTATCGAAAATGTACTGCTAGGCCCTTGCCATATTTGCCATATTTGCTATGCTTGGCAGGCGGGTTGGCAACCGAAGTTTTATTTTATTTTCTAGTTGTTACGAAGACGCTGCTGCCTATCTTTTGGTTTGTTTCACCTCTTATGACTCCCACGGGACGGGATGACATGGGGCAGTGAATATTCTTACGCCGCCACTACACGCTCAATTACTATGATAAAGTGTATACCAACATTTGTCAGCAACCGTTTTTACTTGCTCTGAGGTTTTTACAAACTATTTTCTACTTACCATCATTTTTGTAAACTAAAGATCTAATTGAAAGTTTGAACCAAGTTATTATATCAAATAAAAATCTCAAAATCAAAATGTCCCCAGAAATAATATAAACATGGGTAGCCTAGTAAACTTGGCGGCACCGTGCGACATCGAGCTTTCCTCTTGCCTCTTGATAACCCAACCCATTTTGATCAGTCAGTCAGCATTCGTTCTCTGGACGCAGTGTAAGAATGACGCGCTTACTTTTAACATTTGCGCTGGCGTCTTTGTGCTGGGGCGAAGTCACCAAGCCTAACATTATTCTCATCATCGCTGACGATTTGGTAAGTTATACATTGTAATATTAAACATAAGTAATAGAGAATAGAATAGACCCATGAGAAGTTAGAAAGTACTTATAACTTTAACTTTTCTAGATGGAACTAATTTGACGGTGAACACAATCTATCAAATACACTTACTGCTCACAAAAACTAGCATTAAAAATAAAAATTACTTATCAAAATATTGAGGTATCGAATTTATAAAAGAAATGATTAAAGAAATAGAGTTGTATACACAAAAAGGTAGGGACGTGTGTTTACTTTTTGGCTCATAACTTTATCACATGAGTAATGAAACCATACAGAGAGAAAGTTACGTAGTAGGTACCCACTAATATTTATTCTGTCACAGAGTAAATAATGTATTTCTGTCACAGAATCACGTAATTTCGTGACATAGTTTCTTAAGGCTGTGCAAAATATTTACTTATTTTGGTAGTTCGCGTAGTGTATATTTTCTTTGGTAGGGGTGCCAGACAGGAGGAAATATTAAATAAGCTAATACCTTAACAGCTTATTATGTATGATAGATTTTTTTTCCAGCTTACTTACACATACTCTAAGTATTTTATTTTCATATTTTTCTACCGGCTTCAAAGAGGAGACGGTACTCAATTCGACTGTATGTTTATTTTATGTGTGTTACCTCATAACTTTTTACTGGGTGAACCGATTTCGATGATTCTTTTTTATTTGAAAGCTGGTGCTTCACAATAGTTTTTGAGTTATTCTTAATAATTTATATTGAAGTCGATGTACAACATTTTGAATTTTAAATTATTGTGCTTTAAGTCGGGTGGTAAATTTTAAATGTAAGTTAGTTTTTTTTTTACCTACCTAATATCAGTGTGGAATAATGTAGTACACTCCCCGCAACGTTGGTGTTTAATTACTATAATAATTAAGTATATTTTAAATTACTCTTTCTGGTCTGTTGCATTTTAGGTAATAAAGACAACAAAATGTATTTAAACATGTTGTGTGGCCATTTTAATAGCTAATTAGCGAAATGTGGGCTCATACGCAGTAGAGCGACGCGGCAGCTATATTATGGTTTGAGCATGGAACCGGAGATCCTTTTTACTGGAAAAGAGGCATTCTATCTCAGACATCAGGGGTGACAACACATCTGCATTTTGATTATTAATTGAGGATAAACGTAGATGTCTATGGGCCACAGCAACCACTTACCATCAGGTGGACTGTGTGCTCGTTTGTCACCCTATCCTTTAAAAAAGCAACATTAACATAATTTTAAAGTATAAAGAGCTAAATTATATCCCGAAAAAAGTTATTTGTATTTTTTAATTAAAATTAATAATATCAATTGAGCAGCGACAGAAATTTACCTCAAAATTTAAAAAAGCTAAGTACTGAAATATCTATTCAAAATGTCATTCATTATTACATTACTTTCATCAATGATCTGCACTTTTTTCAGACACTTAATTATCAACAGTAAATACATTTTTATTATTATGGTTTACGCATATAACTTTGTTTATATAACAGCACACTTTATTAATAATAATAATAATAATAGTCATTTATTTCAGGCTTTTTTAGACCCATTTCAAATATCAATAAATGTTAAATGTTAAAAAACCACCAGCGAAATGAAATAGCGCGCGCTTCCTATAACACACTTCCATCTTCAACTTTAAATAACTCTTTAAAGGGACAAAAAGTTACAAATTGCTGCATGCCTGGAGCATCTTTTAGTGACATCCTAAATAAAATTATTGTTACTAAATTTTGCCCAAATAGTACAATAATAATTTTTGTTGGTAGAAGAGGCAGTGTCAACAACAAACAGTTATTAAGATATATTGAACAACTTAATAACTTAAATGTACACAAAATTGTCTTGTTCACACTGCCTTATATACAGGGATTGCCACAAGAAAATAATTTAAGACATAATTTAAATATACAAATGCATAATTTAATATGTAATAATAATTTAAATTTGACATATAATTCTAATGATAATAATCATAAATTTCATGTAATTGACATAAATAATTTAATAAAAAAGTTTTGGACAAAAGATAGGTATTACCTATCCAAATATAATTTAAGACTGATAGCAAATGTGCTATCTTATTATTTACTTTTGAACTCAGCCAAGTTTTTGGCTACCAAGACTGCTTTTATTGAGCATAATCATTTGACATTTAATTTGGAATCAGTTCCAACTAATTTAAATTAGTGAATGTGACAATAGAGGCAATCTCTAGCAATAATAAGAGTATAATTAATTTTAAATACAGCCCACAAATAAGTAATAAAAATTGTTTACACCTGGTGCATCAAAATATACAAGGCATGTTGGGCAAAGAATTGGAAGTTGAATTGTTTTTAAATAGTAACAATATACACATCCTTTGTATTTCTGAACATTGGCTAAAAGATTATAATTTCATGTTTAATTTCAGAAATCACCAGGTGGTCAGTTCCTTCAATAGAGAAAAAAGTTTACGTGGTGGCTCCTTAATATTAGCAGATAAATCATTATTATATAAAGAACGTAAGGATATTGTGAGCCTCTCTGTTGAACGAACTGTAGAAATGGCTTGTGTCGAGCTCGAGCACCTCATTGTTGTAAGTGTTTACAGACCCCCATGTGCTACTTATGACCACTTTGAAAGGATTGTGGAAGAAGTTTTACTCAAACTTAGTAAACAGAACAAGTCTGTTGTAATGTGTGGAGACTTTAATATCAATCTCCTTGAAACTTCTTCCATTAGTATTAAGTTTAGCTCATTGTTTAAATCGTATAATCTTGTAAATTTATTCTTAGAACCAACACGTATTGCTGGGCCTCGTGCGACCTGTATAGATAACATTTTTACAGATGTTAAGCCCTTGCATAAATCAATTATTCAAAATTTAAGTTCAGATCACTGTGGACAGTTAGTATCACTACCTTACATACACAAAAAACAGAAAAAGAAGAAAGTTGTGTTTGTTCCAATAAATGAACATCGCTTGGAGAGGCTTAGAAGTAATATAATAAAAAGACTTCCATCACTTTCGTTTAAAAATAGTGCTAATTATTTGTATGCTACATTATTTGAAATTATACTTTGTGAATTTAGTAGAATATTTACTTCTAAAACTTTCTCTTTTAACAGTCGCAAATCATTTAATGAATGGGCGACAGTAGGAATTTATAAAAGTAGGCAAAGGTTATACGAGCTTTATGATGAAAGATCATATAATAGTAGTGTTATATTTAGAGATTATGTAAAAACATATTCTAAAATATTTAAAAAAGTGTGCTCCACTGCTAAGGCTTTACATTTAAGCAACAAAATTAAAACTGCATCCGACAAAATTAAAATGACCTGGAGAATAATAAATAGTGAAACGGGCAAGGTCAAACCGCGCAACTCGGATTTTCAATTGAATATTAACAATAATTTAACGCGATCTGATCAAGAAGTTGCTATGGCTTTTGAGAAACATTTTACTGATGTTCCTTTTTTGACAACAAAATCATTAAATTCTTCTCCTACTGTCGCCGAATCATTGCTGAAACAAAATGTAAAGGCTCGTTCAAATACTTTTAAATTCAATAGGGTACTGCCAAAAGATATCGTTAAATATTTTAAAACTATTGATGTTAAGAAAACGGCAGACTTATGGGGGATTTCCGTTAAAGTTATTTTATCTATAATAGATACATTAGCACCTTATCTAGCCACTATATTTAATATAAGCGTCGAATCTGGTGTGTTTCCTGATTTAATGAAACATAGTAAAGTCATACCTATATTTAAATCTGGTAGTACATTAGACCCCGCCAATTTTAGACCAATTTCTGTACTACCAACATTAAGTAAAATTTTTGAAAAAATTATTTTAGATCAGATGTTAAGTTTCTTTAATATTAATAAATTGCTACATAATAATCAATTCGGTTTTACAAGGGGTCGCTCGACAACTGACGCTGGAGTTGAGCTTATTAAACATATTTTTTGTGCATGGGAGAATTCAGAGGATGCTTTGGGTATATTTTGTGACCTTTCCAAGGCCTTCGACTGTGTTCACCATGAGACATTAATCAAGAAGCTACAGTACTATGGTGTCAAGAACACAGCGCTTAAACTTATTATTTCATATTTAAGTAATAGAAAACAGAAGGTTATTATCAATGGTAAAAGTTCTTCTGGGTCACCTGTACTAATGGGTGTACCTCAGGGCTCGATTTTCGGCCCATTCCTGTTTCTGGTGTATATTAATGACTTACCTCACCTTGTAGGGGATAGTCATGATATAGTATTATTTGCTGATGATACTTCCTTGATTTTTAAACTTAAACGTCAATCATTTAAATGTGACGAAGTGAATAATGCTATATCAAAATTAGTGCATTGGTTTAACGTTAATAATCTGCATTTGAACGGAAATAAAACTAATTGTGTTAAATTTACAACAACGAATGTTCAAAATCTGAATACCAATGTGTTTTTAAATGGGGAGGAATTGAGCCCTGTTGTATCCACTGTTTTTCTTGGCATCACTCTTGACGCAAAGCTCCAGTGGGGCCCCCATATATCCAAATTAGCAAGCAGACTAAGTTCTGCAGCCTATGCTGTAAAAAAGATTAGAGGTCTCACTAGTGTCGAGACAGCTAGATTAGTTTATTTTAGTTATTTTCATAGCATAATGTCTTATGGGATTTTGCTATGGGGAAATGCGGCTGATTCAGAAACTATTTTTGTTTTACAGAAGAGGGCCATTAGAGCTATTTACAATCTAAAACCGAGAGAGTCTCTTAGAGATAAATTTAAAGAAATTAATATATTAACTTTGGCCTCTCAGTATATTTACGAAAATTTAATGTATGTTCACAAAAACAAAGATAGTTTTAGTAAAAGAAGTGATATACATTCTGTAAACACTAGGAACAAACACAAGCTAGTGATACCAGTTTCTCGACTCCACAGAGTCAGTAATTCGTTCTTGGGGCAATGTATACGCTATTACAACAAGGTCCCGGAAAGTGTACAGGTTCTCTCTATTGCCAAGTTTAAATGTTTTATTAAGCTGAAACTGTATAAAAAGGGTTATTATAGTATAAATGAATACATGGTTGATAATAACCCCTGGGAATGAGGTGATCGCTTCCAAGCAGTTTCTAAAATAAATTTTGTAAATAGTTCGTAATCATTTATATTGTAAAATTTATTTAAAAAAAAAGTCCCGCTGGGTTTCTTGCTGGTTCTTCCCAGGACAGAGGGTTTTTTTCGAACCAGTGGTAAAGTAAAAAATGACTTTCAATAAGAATTACACATGTAATGTATATTGAATAAAAAATATTCTATTCTATTCTATTCTATTCATCCCTTTTCAGAAAGCAAAAATATATGTGACTCACTTTATTATGTGATAAGTGATAACATGTTTTGAAGCTTCCACAAAATTTACTATTATTAATAGTTTATTATTTGAAAATTATCATTACTATTGCTCCTAACATGTAAACAAAAGTCTGATTGATGCTCTTACATAATTATAACATTTTTTTTAAGTATCCCGAGTTTTTTTGCCAGATTCTGTTTTGTCACAGAATAAAATGAGTGCACCCTAAATTTGTAAAAACCGTCGCGGAGAAAAATGAGCCGATTAGCTTTTTATTGGCGTGCATTGACTAAATGGTTTGTTATATTATATATATCGAATATTATTGCTCGTTTGTCACCCTTATTCTATAAATAAAAAAATAAAGGTAACGCAAAAGAGTACCCTTCTATCAATCCTGGCTTAAATTTTGAAATATTATATTTAATACCGTGTAGTGATGTAAGAATATCCACTACCTCATAACGTCCCGCGGGTGTCGAAAGAATCGATCGAGGGAAATATATCTGGAGATGAGCAGCACCCTCTTTCTAATAACAACTAGAAAATGAAAAACTGGGGTTGACAACCGGCATGCTAAGTGTGGCAACTAGGACAAATAACTCCTTTACTAGGCAATTTATAGCGAGACCCGAGTTCAACAGAGCGGTAGCTACCCTGAGTACCTATCATATCACATCATGTCACATCGTCAGTGCTTATATTCACACTCCCCCTGCATAGTCTCAGGTCATCCTCACTAAAAGTGGCATTTTCCAGGGATGGAACGATGTGGGATTCCACGGTTCTAATCAGATCCCGACGCCGAACATCGACGCGTTGGCGTGGTCGGGCCTGGTGCTCCAGAACTACTATGTACCACCGATCTGCACACCCTCGCGGGCCGCGCTTATGACAGGAAAATATCCCATACATACTGGTAAGTTGTCTTGAGTACTGTCGTCAGACCGCAGATACTGCCTCAGGTGCTTGTTGATCATGAGGTATTGGGTTCGAATTCTAGGTTGGGCCAAAATCAGTTATTGGGTGTTTTGTGCCGAGAAATTTTCAGTAGCAGCACGGAATCAGGAAAGTTAATGGTGTTTCGCCCCCGTGCCTCGGAAAGCACGTAAAGGTGTTGGTCCTGCGCCTTCGGACTGTGAGAGTGAAGGAAGAGAAAGTGCACCTGTGCCTGCGCATACACTAGGGCACTTTAATTGTCCCTGTCCTGCGCCGAAGGCTCGTTTCCGTTGAGCCTGGCCGCGTTACTTAAAGCAAAATGTCACAAAAGTAGATCACAAAGACATTTTCAAGTCTAAAAATTAAACAAAATATTCATGATTATGATGTGATCGTTGAGATACGCACTAGGCCTAATTACATATATCACTATCGTTTATATAAGCTAAAGTGCCATACGAACTGACAGTCCATCTCATGGTAAGTAGCTGCTGCAGTCCATGGACACCTGCAGCCAACTTCAAACAAAGAACGCTCCAGATTCGTTGTCACCTCTGAGGACTGAGACGGAATGCCTCACAGCCTGTGATTATACTGTCTCTCTATACACTTCATACCGAACACAGCAGTGCACGCATTGATTTCTTGCAGCAGAAGTAAGTAAGAAGATCGTACCACCCAGACGGAGTCCTAGACAGAGAAAGAGTCCTACCTCTTGTAAGGGTACGACCATTTGCTCGTATAGCGGCTGGTGGTAAGATTTCGTAAGTTTTATACCCGACCTGAAAATCATGACTTTATTTTATTTGTTTTATGTTATTTAAGCCCATGGGACTCCGCATAGGACTCACACATCCTGAGTAGTTTTATAAGATTTAGGGCTCAGCAACACAATATTGTCCGTTAAAACCTTGCCCAAGGACTTGCCCAGGTGTATTTTGTAAGAACGTAGTCCTTCTCCGATCGAAGGAAACCAATTAACTAGTAGCTTGGCTCAAATACTTGTAAGAAAAACCTATAAAATTGCTTTCCAGTGCTTAGTGGCAATTATTTTGTTAAAACGGTTTTATTACGCTTAGACGTGATAATTTACAAAGATACCGTTGAGTTTCAACGTTAGCAATTTCCTACAATTTATTTGTTAAAAGATTTATTTCTGTCACACATTAATTACTGCGCTCTAGTCGTAATTAATCACTAATTAGGTTCAGTTATCCGTCACATTAGAAAGATTTCTAAAAATTAAGAAGACATGGCTAACATTAAAATATTTACAACTATTTGAAGAAGTATATTTTTAAAAAAATCCAAGAAAACTTATTAGAGAAAAAATTGATAAAAGACAATATTTCTTCCTTATTGGTTAAATTCAGCACCTTTCAAAATCATTAAAAATACACCCTACCAATACCACAGTTGGGCACAGGCCTTCTCTCGTTATGATACAATTAGTCCGTTACTAGCAAGCTATTATTAAAAATATACGAGAGGTGACGTCAAAAGTCTGAGATGTCTATCATAATGCCTAAAAAATATTGGATAAATATTACCGTCCTTTTCGAATAATAACGCTGACCTTAATTTCAGTTCCTAGGAGATGCTCATAATTGTTTTCTGCGTTCTTCGCATAATCTAAAGTTACCTAACGCCTTTACACCGTACTGGTTATATGTCCAACTCTTTTGCTCTTACAGCTATAAGACTCTGGAACGAAATACCTCTTGACATTAAAAAGATTCCAATTCCAACGAGTTTCTTTTCAAAAACAAAGTTCGTGAACATTTTAGTAAAGCATGCAAGTGTGAATTAACACTTTTTCCTAAAGAATGATTCTGTCGCCACATATTTTCCTTATTTATCATGACACAGATATATGTGCATATATATGTATATAATATAATGTATATATTTATATATTTAATGTATTTAAATAGTGTTATGTATTTGTGTACCTACGTCTATATTAATATATTTACTTTTGTATGGTATATGTACCGAATACCTTCTATATATATCCATACGTACGATATTTCTTGTGTGCATAAAAGTTTAAATAAATAAATAAACAATTACAAAATCGATCTACATTAAAGCTAGAAACTGTTTGCTCTGCTGAGATGGGAGATCACTCTCATAAAAACAGTGTACATTCGTAGCATTGAGTTTGTAACATTAATTAGTAATGAGACATTTTAACTTCGTCTTCATACCTAAGCGCCTATTTTGTAAATCATCAGTGAGGCATGCAGATGTTAACAATGTAATGTAGGTAATTAATTTGGCTGTCACGCCTTCACGTCTGTTGGGTTATACGTCGAGTGGTAAGCGAAAATGTGACATGTATCATGTACGCATCATATTTTTATAGAATATGTGTGGTAAACACCACACATTCCACCTGATGGTAAGTGCACGTTGTGGCGCATTTATCATTCGTGCTACAACCATAATAGTTGAAGCGTGTCTCTGCCACGTATGATTTATCGATTCTCATATTTGATCAAAAATGATTGTTAATTTTCTTATATTCCTTTTTACAAAGACTGTTATCAAGCTACCTCTTAAGAGTGAGAGAAAGAGAGAGAGAGAGAGAGAGAGAATAGAATAGAATAGAATAATTTTTATTCAATATACATTACATGTGTAATTCTTATATAAAGTCATTTTTTACTTTTCCACTGGTTCGAAAAAAAAAACCCTCTGTCCTGGGAAGAACCAGCAAGAAACCCAGCGGAACTCTTTTTTTTAAATAAGAGAGAACAGACTCTCTCTGTTTTAAGTCTTAACTCCAAAATTTACCTGAACATGTATTTACCTTAGAACATGTGTCGACAGCCTTTTTGTACTTCCAATCATCTTTAACTTTAATACCATACCATAAAGTTTAAGTGTTAGTGGAGGGGTTGCGGGAAGGCAAAACAATTGAGTGATATTAGTATCGTATAAATATTAATGTCAATACTTGTCAAGTGTTTAATAATTTTTATTTTTTGACATAATGTAATTGTTGACTTATCAACTTTCTTTATTCTTTTTTATCTTACTAGCTAACCCGGTATGCCGAATAACAGAATAAGTATTAAAAAAAATTAAAGAATCGACTGTTAGGCGGTACGAAGTTCGCCGGGTCAGCTAGTTTCGAATAAATATTTCAGTACTTAGCTTTTTTAAATTTTGAGGTAAAGAACCCCTCCACTAGGGTTGCGGGAAGGCAAAACAATTGAGTGATATTAGTATCGTATAAATATTAATGTCAATACTTGTCAATAGTGTTTAATAATTTTTATTTTTTGACATAATGTAATTGTTGACTTATCAACTTTCTTTTTTCTTTTTTATCTTACTAGCTAACCCGGTATGCCGAATAGCAGAATAAGTATTAAAAAAAATTAAAGAATCGACTGTTAGGCGGTACGAAGTTCGCCAGCTAGTTTCGAATAAATATTTCAGTACTTAGGTTTTTTAAATTTTGAGGTAAAGAACAATGGCAGATTTTCATACATAAAATTAGTTGAGAAGAAATGGTAGCGTCTATATATCAAAAATATTTTAAAATGTTAAGCGTCAGTCTCTTAATAACTCTGTCAAAGAATTTTGTCTTGAGAAGGCGTCAAAAAAAAAGATATTTACATTTGAACCTTTTTAGGTTGTCTCCTATGTCACTTGGAAAAAGTCATGCTTCCTGTGGTTGTTTGATGTTAGTTTAATACAAAATACATAATAGAGAGTTTTTAGATTATTGTATCTCTATTACATATTTGCATGATATAAATGTATATTTCTGGCATGGCTCCAGCGATTTTGTATCATAGTGACATTCTCAGAAAAGCTAGAACCCAGAGCCGTAAAACCAGTAAAAAAAAACAGTGACATTTTATTTTAGCTAGTGTTGGCATAACATTAAATGGAATTGTTACATAGTACTATGATTGAGATAATGTATTATTGTAGGAAATTCTTTGTAAGAGACTTATCCTTAGCCATATCACTTTTATTTTTATTATTACTGATAGTGCAGTTATTACTAATAATAACTTACTAATTATAAAAATATTTTGTGTGTTTTGTTGGTAGTAGTCTTACAAAGTATATACGATAATAGTATGAATATCCTAAATAGCAACATTTGAATATAGTTAAATGATTTAAGTCATTTGATATTCCTAAAAATGTTTGTTATTTTCTGTGGCTTTAATTAAAATAAATTTTCATTTGAAAAATCATAGAAAAATAATAAAACATTTTATATATAACTTATTTCTAGACGCTATAATATTTGTCAACTATTTTTCTGCCATTGCTCTTTCTGTCGCAGCTCAATTGATATTTTTAATTTTGATTAAAAAAAATGACTTTTTTCGAGATATAATTTAGCTCTTTAAACTTTAAAATAATTTTTAATGTTAATGTTGCTTTTTTTTATAGGATAGTGTGACAAACGAGCACACAGTCCACCTGATGGTAAGTGGTTGCTGTGGCCCATAGACATCATAACTACATCTATCCTCGTTTGCGAATCAAAACGCAGATGCGTTGTCACCCGTGAGGACTAAGATGAAATGCCTCTTTTCCAGTAAAAAGGGTCTCCGGTTCTCCACACTCCACCATACGAAACACAGCAGCATTAAGCTGCTATTTTACGCTATTGTGAGAACGTGGTTCTTCCCCGGTCAAGCCGACCCATTCGTGCTACAACTATACTACTAATATAGCTGCAGCATGGCTCTACCAGGTATACATTACTAATAATCATATGTGACTACTGTAAGGCACGCTCGTTTTTGTAATTTACTAACTAACTAACTAACTAATCAATATCAGAATCATTTGCAGTACCACTAGCTTTTACCTGCGACTTCGTGTGCGTATAACTAAAACAAAAAATCTGTGGTTTTTTAATAGTTGTCTTGTCCAAAGTTAGTTCAATTATAAAAAAACCACTACGACAATGGCAAAAAAAACTACGTTTTTTAGCAGACA